CACTGTCATTCCACATGGTGTGGTTTGGGGCGTTTCCGCCCTGTCATTGTGACAGTCTCTGAAATTTCAGCAGACTGTTTTCCCCCACTCGACAGCAGACAACAGCAGTGTCTGCTGCCACATCCACCTCGAGCAACAGTGATCCAACTTAAGATACGAATAAGTAACAGTGATACCATGGAGCAGTCTGCCTTTTGTCGAACCTCTTTCCAGGCTAAATGCTTGCTATTGAGCCAAACACTAAGGCCCCTTGAGCCAAATACCACGGCCCTTGATAGTCAATAAGTCTAAGCACAATGCCAGAGCATCTACTCTGGTAGCATCTACTACCGAGATACAAGTCTTAGACATAAACAAATGTAAGATAGGGTGCTCTGATTCACTGAATTACCAGGTTAAGACGCTGTCGTCAGGTTCATGCAACCTGAGGCCACATTATAAGAGACGTCGCACACTCTACACACACGATTCCCGCTTTTGAACTATTTCCTGGCCTCGAACCTGTGATATAGAGGAGATAGAGACCCCCAACTCAATTCACCCAGAGTTTTTATGGAATTTATCGAGAAAATACACAAATTATTTGATTTGAAATGTGACAAAATGTAAACAGATTTGTTGTCTACGTTTGAGAAAAAAAATATTGCTCGCTAGGCATTTTCTTGTTTTAGTGAAGATAAAATATTGTTTCTAATTTTGTTGAGAGAGTATATGGTTGTCTGAGGTCAGAGGAGCGGGTGTCTTGTACTACAGGAAGTCGCTTTAAACTACAGTGTTTAGAACGAAGATGAGAATCCGAACTGTTTTGAGGTTCTTCAAAGACTAAAATAAGATAAAATGACGGAGTGTCCTGAACACTCCCTCTCTATTTTGATTGTGGTTATACATGAACAAATCCACAGAAGCCGTGATGAGGGTTCGAAGGCTTCACTGGAAGCCTCTGGATCCTCGTGGGTGCTGTAGTACCCCAGGTTGCAATTCTTTTGACCATGTCGCGGCGTAGTCGACTAGAGTGTGCATCTGTGAACACCCAGCGCATAAGTTCGAACCCTCATCACGGCTCCTGTGTATTTGTGCATTGATATATCAAGATAATGTGATTTCTACCAATAGAAGTGATGGTGTGTGTCAACATAGGCGGCAAGGAGCCTGGTCTTGGTGACTGAGAGTCCTGGCAGGGTGACAGACAATGTGTCTTGCTGACAGCTACGTGTCCCTGCTGCTTGTTGACAGGAGGAATAAGTAAACAGGAGTGAGAGCTTGGCTCACTGTCCCTGACGAACTGTGAGATAAAACAACAAAGTATTTCCTCCGTATAAGCGCTGCTTCTTGAGGCGTCTCAGAGGCAGCGAACACTACTTCAACTCACCAGCGCCTCGCCACCGTGTAGGATAACCAAACAGGTGATCTGAAGCAGAACATTCCGACGCGCTACTGATGTGTGGGGCAACTCCTCCCCTGGGGAACGACGCGGCCCCTGTGGGCGACAGAGACACGGGTGTCTTGTGTACGTAGCCTCCAGTGTACGTGCCACAGGCTACGCGCACAAAGGGACAGTATACGTGCCACAGACTACGTACACAAGGGGACAATATACGTGCCACAGGAATATGCTGAACATATGATGACTTAACTGGTTTACGAGATAAGTAAATACCTAAACATGTTAGTTATGTAAACATGCTGAGGCCACTTGTTGACTCAGGTTGGTTGTGTGTTTGTTTACCTGCCTCACGCTTTTTTGTCCGACCCGAGGTGGTGACAGTCAGGTGGGGGGGGGGGACTTCTCAGTGTGTTACGCTTGTGTTGCGCTATAATTGTTGCAATCAATTTCATCATGAAGCATTTATCTTGTGTTACCTGTAAGTTAATTGTTATCTCTGAAGACTTGTATTTATATGTACATGAAAGCCCTCCATTTTCTGTATTTTTATTGTATATACTTATCGAAGCTTGGAAGACGAGGGACAATACACATACTATACTAACAAATGCATTAAGTTCAATGTTCAGCTGCTCAAATGTTATATTTTACGGTCAATGTTTTGTTCTGCACCCGTCATTGTATTAGTGTGTTAATTACACACAGAAATCACAATAGCGTGATGCATCAAATGAACAAATCCAGTGCATGGGGAGAATTGTGTAAAATCCTGGTTTGTGTCTCGGAGAGGCTGCAGGATCCAAGTAAATTCAGTAGAATTTCTGGTTGCAATTGTTATACCATGTCGTAGCTCAGTCGATTAAGGCAGCGTCTGGGATGCTCTCGGACGCAGGTTCGAATCCTCGTCACGGCCCTTGTGGATTTGTTCATTAGTGTGTTAGAGTTAATACTGTACAGTTATTTAGCGAAGTGGTGGTGGACTCCAGGGTCCAGGTTCACGAAGCAGTTACGAAAGCACTTACGAACCTGTACATCTTTTCTCAATCTTTGGCGGCTTTTTTTACAATTATTAAACAGTTAATGAGCTCCGAAGCACCAGGAGGCTGTTTATAACAATAACAACAGTTGATTGGCAAGTTTTCATGCTTGTAAACCTATTTAATAAATGTAACCAAAGCCGTCAAAGATTGAGGAAAGATGTACACGTTCGTAAGTACTTGCGTAACTGCCTCGTGAATCTGGCCCATGGTACCTCATACCGGCATGTCTGACGGTCTAATGACTGCAGGCTCAGTAATGCTGTGTGTGTGTGTGTGTGTGTGTGTGTGTGTGTGTGTGTGTGTGTGTGTGTGTGTGTGTGTGTGTGTGTGAGAGAGAGAGAGAGACAGAGACAGATTATGACCCAGTTTTATGAGAAATTATACGAGATAATTTATGTGAGAAATTATACTCGCGGAGTTTACACACGATCCTCTCTTTAGTGAATTCCTACGCAAAGTCTACGGATTCAGCTCGTACTTTCAGACTGGAACTACAAATTTGGTGCTTTGAGTGTACAAACACTATATTCAGTAGTTACCGTTTGTGATGATCACTCAACATACCGTCATTGCAGAGGCAACTTGTCTAGATCTGGAATTGTGAAGATTAAATGGGTCAGTGCAACTGAAAAAACAATTTCAATGAATTTGCAACAAATTAGTTATTAAAATTTCCAAAATATTTGGTTTTCTATTTAAATATAACAGTACCAGAAAATAAAAATGAAACTCCTTTGTCTTATCACAATTTCTAGCACAGGGTCGTTAGTGCGAGATAAGGAACGAATTGGTGATAACAGACCCAAAATCAAGAGGTTTATTTAAAGGTGCCCAGCGTCTGACAAACATAAAATTAAGAATTTTGTATATAGGACTTTTGTGGTCAAGCAGACTGTCGCTGCTCAGGACCGCCATACTATCATACCCAGATTATCTTTTTAACACACTGACTTCCCTGGAAACACAAACCGAAACTGTCTCTATTTTCCGCTTGTTACAACTTGTAATAAAGTTGTTACATCTTGGCTTAACGTGTTTATGACGTATCTGAACGTTGTTACAACTTGCTATATTGGTTGTTATAACTGGTTAGGAGGTGTTACAACTTGTTCGTACGTTGTACCAACGTCGTAGTTTCGGTGTGTGTTTGGCGGGTTTCGAAGGAATATTCCGCAACACAAATTCTCACAGAAATTCTTGTAACAGACTTGTACAATGACCTGGCGCCGTGCGGTCATGTTTGTGTCATCATTTGGGTTATGTTGTGTGTGTGGAGGTGGGTGGAGCAGTGATGTGGGTGGAGCAGTGATGTGGATGGAGCAGTGATGTGGGTGGAGCAGTGATGTGGGTGGAGCAGTGATGTGGGTGGAGCAGTGATGTGGGTGGAGCAGTGATGTGGGTGGAGCAGTGATGTGAATGGAGCAGTGATGTGGGTGGAGCAGTGATGTGAATGGAGCAGTGATGTGGGTGGAGCAGTGATGTGGGTGGAGCAGTGATGTGGATGGAGCAGTGATGTGGGTGCCACACTGACGACAGGTGCCACACTGTGGCTCCTCTCTACATGAACTAGTGTTTCGGCACTACAAGTTTGCCCATTTTATAATTACATGTAATAAGGCTAGTTATGCAATGTATTTGAATAACAAGTGTATAATTTATTATGTGAGTTCATACATTGAAGCATTTGGATGTATATACTACTGAATGTATTTTTGCATTTTTCTTTTGTTTTTTTTTGCATTTTTACGCTTGTGTGTGTGCATAAAATTAGAGCGTATTTTAAAATAGTAATATATTTAGATTCTGTTGAAGCCTCACGAGGAATTTTATATCCGAACTGATTCAGAATCGGCTTCGAAGCTGTTTACGGTCAAGAGGTGATAATACACACAGATCACACTAACGTGATGCATAAAATGAACAAATCCACAAGGGCTCTGGGATGCTCCCGGACGCAGGTTCGAATCCTCGTCACGGTCCTTGTGGATTTGTTCAGGTGATAACAAGGCTTAAATACGTTTTATAAGAATGGAACTCACACTTAATGCGATTAAATGACAAGTCCGCGATCCTTGTGACTGGGAACCATCCAGTAACCAATTGGAGAGTTAACCGGACCTCAAACCTCCCAATTACCTATAGATTTAAGAATAAACTAATCGAACGATTTGTATGTCGCTTATAGGGGTAAGACTTGGGGCCAGATTCACGAAAGCACTTACGAACTTGTCCATCTTTTCTCAATCTTTGGCGGCTTTGTTTACAATTATTAAACAGTTAATGAGCTCCGAAGCACCAGGAGGCTGTTTATAACAATACCAACAGTTGATTGGCAACTTTTCATGCTTGTAAACTGTTTAATAAATGTAACCAAAGCTGTCAAAGATTGAGGACAGATGTACACGTTCGTAAGTGCTTTCGTGAATCTGGCCCTGCGTGTTTTGTGGTCAACCCGTTTTCTTTGATTTGTCACTCCGTACAAAATCCAACCTAACCAGACACGTTACCCCAAGCAAACCACCCGTCACTCCAGTGTATAGAAAATGTAGATATCTGTAAGCCGTTACTTTACTCCATAGGCTGCGTTTGTAACGCAATAACGTCTGAAATGCGACGTATTAGTGGAGATGACAGGCTGGTGAGCGTGTGTGAAAACAGTTGAATTAAGTGATTCATTACAGCAATATTTTCAGGGATCAGCATACTTTAATTACGTGTGTTATACATGATTGTGGGGGGGAAACAAGTTCTCTATGTATATGTAACTATGAGTGCGTGTATATGTATACTTTTATCGTGATTATATCAGGCGAGTGTATGTCCATACACTAATATATTTTAGTGTATTCGAGTTATTAAGACACTGATGGTATAATCAACATATGCAAATTTATGCTGTAGATATATTCCCCCCCCCCTCATTGAGGAGTATAACGGAGGTAGGTGATGTGAGCCCCAGAGACCGAGCTCTGGGGCTCACATCATGGCACCAGGTGCTCCACCTGATGATTGTATCACCTGTTGATTGAACAAGATCAACGGTGTTCACCTGTTGACTGAACAAGATCGGCGGTGTTCGCCTGTTGACTGAACAACATGGGGAGAAAATCAACGGTGTTCATGTTCAACCTTGTCTGATTTTCTCCTGTTCAGTCACTGATGAACAGATGTAAATATTTGTTGTTCATTATATAGTAAATATATACATATGTTGATATTAAATTAATCGCTAAATAACGGGTAAGTTATGATCAGTAATATGTAGAGGAATTAATACAGCTGTATTTATACAAGAGGTCATGTTGTGACCAGAGTTGTATTGCTTGTGAGGTTAACTGTTAACTTTCTTAGTCCCCCGTGGCGAAGTGGTGAAAACACTCGCCTGGCGTTTCTCAAGTCCTGGGTTCGAATCCTGTCCGGGGGAGGATTTACTGGGCGACAGTCCTTAATTGTAGCCTCTGTTCACCCAGCAGTAAAATGGGTTCCTGGTTGTTAAACGATTTGGCGGGTCGTATTCCAGGGAAAAAATTAAGATTCAGGAGTTGCCTGAAAGGCTATGAGTGCTAGTGGCTGTACAAGAATGTAAGAATTCTTAGATAATTCTTAATTGTGACATCAAGATCAAGTTGATGTCACGTCTCTCAGACGACGTCTCTCTGGCCTTCGTCTCTCCTCTTCCAGAAGTCATTTATGTCTAGTGGAATTTTTTTTCTTACCACGATAACTTCTCTCATATAAGAATTAATATTTGATAGCTGGAATGACAGTCATTTCAAGTGAGGCGGCCACCAGCACAAATGTCATTGAATTCCATCGATAAATGGTTTAGATTTGATGGAATTTAGTTCAGTTTATCAATTCTCTACTTATGCATAGGTTCCATACAGAACCCTGTTTGATGGCAAATATATATATATATATATACATATATATATATATATATATATATATATATATATATATATATATATATATATATATATATATATATATATATATACTGTATATATATATTATTAAATATGACCGAAAAAGTAAGATTAATAATTCTAACGCGAATTTTCTCAATCTTTCGTACATTTCTTTTCACTGTTGGAGGTAATTCAAAAATCAATTCTCCAAAATTCATTTTTATTTCTAGTCTGACGCGACACTTGAGCGCGTTTCGTAAAACTTATTACATTTTCAAAGACTTTAGTTAACACATACACAACTGAATAGAACTTACACATCTCCGATTTTGTTTATATCTACATTTGAGTGAGGTGGATGGGGTGAGGTGGTATTTAATAAGGTATTAATTTCATCAACACAAGCCAGAACATGAAACAATGGGTATTGAATAGAAGTGATTGTAGAAAGCCTATTGGTCCATATTTCTTGATGCTTCTATATAGGAGCGGAGTCTTGAGGTGGGTAGAATATAGTTGTGCATTAATTGGCTGTTGATTGCTGGTGTTGACTTCTTGATGTGTAATGCCTCGCAAACGTCAAGCCGCCTGCTATCGCTGTATCTATCGATGATTTCTGTTTTGTTTACTAGGATTTCTCTGGCGATGGTTTGGTTGTGGGAAGAGATTATATGTTCCTTAATGGAGCCCTGTTGCTTATGCATCGTTAAACGCCTAGAAAGAGATGTTGTTGTCTTGCCTATATACTGGGTTTTTTGGAGCTTACAGTCCCCAAGAGGGCATTTGAAGGCATAGACGACATTAGTCTCTTTTAAAGCGTT